GGCCAGGGCTAGCCCAGCGCACGACTCGTCTCGCTCATCGTGAATCTAGATAAAAGCCTCCGTTCATAGCCAACTGCACAGGCTGCTTTCCGAGGCGCCGTGAGGCGGCGGGGTGCTCAATCAGACCAGGCTCTGTCGTGATCGACAACCAGCCGGCGGTAAAGTATGTGTAACAACCTAGTAGACAGCTTTCACTTGGCCAGGTCACAGTGCAGACGGTTCTAGCCCAAAGATGCCTGTGCCGCAGTCATTTCGATCGATGGAATGGTCCAAGTGCTGCATCGCATCGTCATTCGAGGACACCAGACGCCTCTGGTTTTCGATTGGGTTGAACGAGCTGTATGGTCGTAGAGGCGCTGTGTTGTCCTTTTTGCGAGATCAATTGCGCCAAGCGGATGCCGAGTAGGTGACGCACGGATGCAAGACAGTTCGCGCGACGTTGGGTATCACTGCGAATGAATTCTTGCATGTCACTGCAGATGATCCATGTCGGCGCGGAGGGCCTCCTGCTTCACGCCGAGGAGGGCCTCCCGCATATTGATGAGGATGACCTCCCGCGTGAAACCTAGCATGCCGTGCGTTACTGACGATCTTGCCGCGGATGACTTCTGGTATATGATGCTAGCTGCCTCCCGCATGTTACGCACGGCCCATGCCGGCTTGGAAGCTCGACACTGCCGTACACGACGTATATGATTAAAAAAAAAAGCAGGTCACGGCAGGCTTGCCGTCGCTTCCACGTTAAACAAGGGTGGATTTCCCGCCTCGAAAAGTAAATGGTAGACATGAGTTGAGCCTCACATTGGCACCGAGGTCCTTGAATGACGATTCTTCAGGCCAACTGATTCACCTTAATATCTGAATATGTTTAACTTACTTATTGGTGAATGTACTATCATGAGCTCACTTACTGATGCTGTCGGATGATAGAAGCGACCGTCTTTTGAATACACATTCTTGCGTGTCAATCTCTCTGCCCCATTGATCCGCGCGCAGATGCCGTTTGCGGCCATTTAGCCTCGCTTGACTCCTCTTGTCTCCATAAACTGTGAATTCAATTCCATGTGACTCAATCTTTCGGCCAACCGCGACAAGTCTGGGCCCCGGGACCCGTTTCTCCTCTGGAGTCACTACTGTGCATATTGATCGTGTGAGTGTCAAAGCGCTGCTTACCGCATATAGAAGGCGATTTGAGCAAGCCTTGCACTGACATCTGCATCTAATCGTATGCGCTGGGTTATTGAAAACCAGTAGCTAGTCAAGAGGCTTTTAGTCGAAGTAGAGACATGAAAGTATGTAAAATTCTCAGCCACCTAGTCCAGATTAAATCACGGCTTTCCGGACACTGAAGTCATGTTGTGTTTGTTTGCACATTGACAGCGTCTGTGGTGCGGCAAACATTTCCACATGATGGTCGGCGTTATTGGTCACGTTCTCGGGGTGACGAATTCGAGCTGAGTGCTATGCCTTTCGCCTCCTGATGACTGCAAACTATTTGCAAGTGAAGTGGGAACTGTCGATGAGATGAAAAACCCATGAAAGGAAAAGAAAGAAAAAGAACAAGAAAAGAAGAGATGAAAAAGAAAAAAGAGTCCATGCACTCTTGCGTTGTCTGACCAGGCCAACGTGGCTTTAACGCTAAGACCTCGGGATCGCAGGCGGCAGGCCTCCCTCAAGCTCGGGGGAATCGCACCAGCAGTATTTGGGGTTTTCAATACCAGTCTCCCATGATACAGGGAAGGTCGAAACAAGTGTCCGCTTGTTATAATTGTAAAAATTATTTAATAGGTTACTTGGAACTAAGCGTGGCAGTCCGCAGAGTATGAGAACCTGATTTGCACGCGTGCAGAAAGGTACAATCGACCTACTGCAGACAGATCTACCTTGCTGCTGTATTTCCAACCTCTTTGTGTACAGTATAGTACAGGACTTTTCTGCCAAACTTCCAAAGCCCACAATCCTACATGGCATTTTCTCACAGAACCATGAGTTCAAATCTTTTTTTTTTTTGGTCGGGACCTGTACCGCATGGGCGCGTAAATATTGTGACAGTGTCAGTAGATTTCGCCGGGAGAAGCGTCGGGTCGTTGGCGAACGTCGTGAGCGCTGGAATTTAATAATGCAACTAGCGACTGGCATATGTGTAGGCTGTTGTACCGCATGCGGCTACTATAGCGAGAATCCCATCGATAAACCTCGGGTGGTTGGAGTGTGGCTCTGCTCAAGGTGTGTGTAAGTGCTGGCTGAGATTCACTTTCCTAAACGCTACGATAGGCCTAGTCCTAACAAATTCACAGGCGCGTTACCGCAATGCATTTTGTGACTTGCGAATGATCAGTTTTGGCTCGGAAGCCAGTAAGGTCGCCCCGGTTCCAGACGACTGGCTCAGACCTATACTTTGTCCTCAGCGTGACCGATGGCGCCACTGTCACCTTCTGAACGGCTGGCTTGGGGGCTTCTTTTAGCAAATAGAAGGGAACGCTGAAGTTGCGAAAGTCCGATTAAGTGATCGTACTGTCAGCATATGAAATGATCGTCTTTTGTGGGAACTTCTGCTTGCGTCGAAGAGCAGTGGTCCACGATGCTACACCATTGGACCGTAGTCATGGAAGAATTGGAGCCCATTGATTCCTGGAATGAGTCCTAACATGCCTTTTTCGGACATAAAGAATCACTGGTGCTATCGGGAAGAATTATTGCAACCAGAGCAAACATCACGCCTGGCGAGATGCTAATCCTCCGATTGAAACCCATTGAGATCTTGTGCAAGTTTGGACCCCGGCTTGTCTAGCATTGCCGCAACGGCCAATTCGGCGCAAATGGATGTCGACATCTCATCTCTTAATTGAGCAGCGGAAAATGTCTAATGCGGCGTAAGGTAGGGACAAGGTACAGTAGAACGCCCCAGATATGTACTGGTAGGTATTGAACGTATATTAAATACACATTGTTCTTCTGACCTTGTATCCCCTGTAAAGTCTTTGCTGATGAATATGTACTAGGCTTGGCTGTCAAGAGACGAGGAGACGATACCATTTTTTATTTCAAACCCGTTCTTCTAGAGAGAGCACACTTACCCATGAAGCAACCTTGATGATCCTCCCGCAGCCCTCTCCATCCCTTGTTGACTCCGACTGTCCTTTTGATTGGTTTTTCTCGGCGAATTGTCCTTGGAATCGTTCCACATGAGCCTCGACCGGGTTGTAGGCGGGCATCCCGGCACACTCGATGAAGGGCGAAGGCCACCACAGCGCCTCAGAGCAGTGGCACCAGTCCCGCTGCTCTTGACGCGCCCGTGGCCGCCCAGGGCCCTGGACTGGATGATGATGGCGGTGACGTGCTACTCTAACATGCGGAAGCCGTCGTCCTGCTGTGGGTCCAAGAACTCACGGAAACCATGAAGCTTCATCGTGGGGTTCTCGCCCTCGAGGTAGGTCATCCGGAGGAGGATCGAGCGCTCGAGGTCATCGCGGATGGTGTTGACGAGTTTGGGGAGGATGTGGTCCTGGCCCCTGCACTGGATCTTGTAGTGTGCCCATTCGTCATCGGCCATCTCCCCCGGGAGGCGCGTCGCATTCAGGAAGCTACCGGTGGACAGGTAGAGCTAGGACTCTAGTTAGACGTGTCGCGGCACAGTTGTGGGACGGCGTCTACGCGTACCTTGATCTCTCGTGGGATCGGGGCCTCGTCCATGATGATGATCCAGAGGAGCGTGTTGCTTTTGCTTTTCTGGTGAAGTTGTTTCTGGGGCAGGAATTGTTTCAAGTGAAACTGCAGGTCCTGTGCTGTTCTGCAGTCTGTGGTGGTGAGGCAGAAATGGTGATGAGTTGGTAACTTAAGGGCACCAAAAAAGACATGAAAGGAGCTATTCCGGGATGTTAAAGATGTGCGACGGCTCAGGCTACTTCTGGCTTGTTCCGAGATGTTGAGATTCTGCCGGTCCTCGTCGTGGTTTTCTGGAAACAGTGCGAAGCAGATTGCAAGAGGAAATGGTCCATGAGACGGGCGGCTGACGAGTTGGCGATGTCAGAAAACTTCTTGTATAGTCATTTTGGCAGGCCGTCTCCGGTTCTACGTTGCAGGGGAAAACAGAGGTCACATGGGACTTCAAGCTGGCCAAAAGAATCTAAAAGCAGCAAGAAGGACCGCCCACACTCGTGCTTCGATCGCTTCTCTCACAGAAGCGCAGCTGGTGGTTTTGTGAGCCAGGGGAACGCGCCTTTGATATGTGGACTTAACCTATGGTCTATTCAGTCCGGCAATGCCAGCGATAGCGGCATTTTGCCTGAGGGTCTATATCCAAAGCTAGTGTCTTTTCCAGAACCAGCCTTTTTGAACTACCTTCTTACAAGTACACACACCTGAAGGGAAAAGAGGGCTCTGCGAAAGTGTTTCTTCCCTCTCAAGCCTGGGTGCCTACTAAAAGCTCTTCCTTCGAGCTCAAAATCTTCGACAGACGGTTCCTCGGTCAAATTCTTGCCACTTGCGACCTCACCTGTTTCTTGTGGTCTGCTTCTTTGCCTGCTTTCAGTCTGCAGCAATCTCAATGGGGACTTTCTTCGTGGAACCCAGCATTCCTGCCACTTGTTTTCCTTAATCAGCATACATCAGAAAGCTCAGCAACCTCTCACGCTTAAATGTTCTGTCAACCAAGAGCAATCTTCGAATGACTGTCTACCTTGTTTGTAATCAAGATGCCTCCTTCTGAGTCACCACATGAGGCGGCCTCGCAGAACTCTGCTGCAGGTAAGGACATTGGAATCTTCCGCTTTACTCAACCGCGAACTTACTAACAATTAAGACGCGATCGCCAATGACGAGGAGCGGCCAAGTCTGAGTTTCAGGCGCTCGTGGTTCCGGCTC